GGTCTTCTACTGGATGGGTTCTTTCCTGAGACTCCTGCTTGCATGCTTTTGTGTATGAAAGCATGCATCTTGACTGGAGTATAACAGAGTAGTGGTTTGTGTGCTTGTAGAGAGCAAGACTGCAGCATCACGGCCAGTCCACTGCCATGCCTGTTCACGGAGCCAAAGAAACTCCACATTGGCTGCCCAAGCCTCTGCACATCACCTGGCTAAGGAGGGACATAAGGAAGGCAAATAAGCAATGACATAAAAAAAAGCACCACAGCTGTCAGTGATGAGCAATGAAATACTATGAAAAGCCTTGAACCAGGCTCATAAAACTCATACATAGAAAGGCGGCAAAAAAATTCTGAGCTTCCTGAGTCTTCAACAGAAAAACAAACTAAAAACCAGATATGCATTTTACAAACAGTACCCAAAGCTGTAATTAATTGATTTTTAAAAGCACCAAGGAGGCACTGGGGAGAGTGGAGACTGCTGCTTACAGCACTCCCTCCCAAATTTATGTGGGCCTTTGGTACAGAGAGAAATTGGGAGAGGCTGGCACAGACTCCGGGGCACTGACTGTGAAGCTGTCAGGATTACTGTCTGAGCTCAGCGCTGGCAAAGGCCCCCAGCCAGGCTCACCCAGCCCTGGCAAGCACAGCCCTATCTCTTGTGTAGATTACTCACTGGCAACTCAAGCAGAGCACAAGCAAGAAGAGACAATAGGCCTGTCGCAACCAGCCACTCCGAAAGGACGCGTAGTGTAAGGAGACAGAGCGACCTTTTGTTCCCACGAGACAATTATTCGTTTTCTGTGGCAGAATAACAAAGAAAACCCCACCGGATTTTCATCCATAACTTCTGGCTGAGGTAAAAAGACCAAGAGAGATCTCTTTGGCATGGAGAGTAAGTGAAGCAAGACCAAAACGGACTGCTGCAGACCAGGAGCCTAATGAACAAGCACCAGCAATGCACTCACTGTGTCCTCCTCTGTGTTTTATTCTCCCTGGCCCTACTCTGCCTCTCTCAGGCATTACCAGGCCTTCAAAACAGCGGTACAAGCACCAGGTTTGCTCATGATTCCTATTTCTGCTCCTCTATCCAAATGAAAGAGGGGAACTAGGACAGTCAGGTGAGCGAGGATTTGCAAAGGAAGGAGCTTGGTGAAGAGTTGCTGAAGTACCCTCTTCTGTAACTGCGAAAGCAAAGAGCCACCAACTGTTATTTCAGTCACTGCACTCACCACTGTAACCCAGATACTAAAAGGGACTGCTGCCACACTCCAGACTGAAAGGAAGATTTGAGAGGGAGGAAGCAGAATAGAAACCCTAGGGCTGGTCAAAAATTCCAGTGTAGGTGGGTGAGCAGGGAGCTCAGAAAGTAACACAGGGAAAGGCGTAAAAGAGGCAGCAGATTATCAAAACAGTGTGGCTTTTTTTGTGGAAGCAAAACAAAAATAATTCTTTTGCAACCAAAGAAAATATTCATTGGAAATGTTCTCATTTTTGACACTCAAGTAAAAAAGTGCGTTAATTTGGCTTGAACCTACTGTCATTAAAAGTCAGTTTTGTTACAGGTCTCTCATATTTTCCTCTCTCTTCCCATTTTCCAAAAGAGAACATGGGACTGGCAGGGAAGAAAGAAGAGACAAAAGCCATGAGATTTTGTTTTGAATAGTTTCAAATAGATGTTCTTATACAAAGTACCGGCATTACAACTAGGCTTTGTACTTTTGAACCATGCAGTAGTAAGCACATTCTTTGGGTAGATGAAAGGAAAAGCTCTGTAGTAGAACCTGCCTCCTAGGACAAGGACAGCACTGCTGTTCGGAGCTGGAGGCCTTAGTGGTATTTGCTCTAGGACAAACAAATAAGGTTGGTGCAGAACACAACCAAGATGTTTCCTTCCCTCCCAGCATGGTTCAAGAGCAAATGGGGTGAATCCTCTCCCAAACAAAACAACCAAGCAAAACTTACCACTCTTAGCAAATTCCGACGTTCTTTGAAGGTGGCACAGCAACCAAGGATGCCGGTAACCATGACAACTACCCCAGCCACCACCAGAATATAAGCAGTGGCTGAATACGTGCTGGAGGAGAGCAGGCTGATGTAGTCACTCTTCTCAGCCAGGGTCCAGGTGCCCACTGCCATCACAGCCCCGCCAGCCAGCTAGGGAGAGCGAGAAGCAAGAAAATGAAGGGCATCTGATGCATGAACTTCCTCACCTCCCAGAGCAACTGCACTGGGATACCAGGATGTGCATCATCTCCGTAAGCGGAGCCAAAGATGATCTACACTAAAAGAAGGACTCCCAGAGGTCTCACTGGGACCAGGAGCAGGCTCCAGTGCACCAGGAGGGGCTGGCCAGTTTAGCACCTCAGGCAGCCTGAAGTAGAAGCTATCTGAAGTATCTACCTGTGCACAGCAATCCATACTTGGACCAGAGCTTTCCCAAATGTAGCCACACTGTTACCTGGGCAAATATGAAAAAATGTCAAATCTATTGCGGTGCTACCTAGAAGCAGAAGGGGAAAAAATCAGCTTTACATCAGCTTTCCACTGCTCACCAGGGAGCAAAACTACCAATAAATTACAACCATGCCCAATATCTCCTTCCTAGACTATACATCTAGGGAGAAAGCAGTCAAGGAGCTAAACATCCTGGCTCGTTAAACTCTAACCCTTGCAGCAAACAAACACGGAGAAGCCAACCAGACTCCTAGCAGTCCCTTCTCTCTTTGCAAGCCTTGTGTTTCTGTAGGGCTTAAGCAGCTTCTGGTAAGCTCAGACAGTGTTCCTTAAAGGTCCGACCTGGATACCAATGCTCTGTCCCAGGTAGCAAAGGAAAAAACAATCCTTTGGCATCAGTCACTTTCTGGTGGCAAGCACGACTTTGGGAAGCTCTATAATGTGGACCCAGCTGCAAGAAGGTGTTTGTTATCCTTGCTTTAGCTGTCCCACTCCACTGCCAGGACTCTCTCTGCCATTTTGAGAGGGGGAATGGCAAGATAGCGGAGTCCTCAAACTCCCTGAAAAAGCAAGCCAGGTGAAAAAACAAAGCATGTTTTCAGGCTGCCTGTTATTTTCTATACTTGGTAACATGACCTAGAAACAGCAAGAGACTACAGTGTCATAGCATAACTTCTGCAGCCTGGGCAGGCAAGCCCAAGGGATGGGATTTCACTCCACAGAATGAAATCTGTGTCCTACGGACATCAGTGCTTTTTGTCAAAGACTTCACCAAGCCTAAGATTTCTGCGCCCCGACATCAAAACTGCAGTGCCATCTCAGTGCCTCTGAAACAGACTGTAGCTTACCCAGAAAAAGAAGTTGAAGATAAAGAGCAGGTACTTGAGACAGATGGTCCCACATGTCTCCTTCTTTTCCGTATACTCACGCATCTTTCTGGCTCAGCAAGTTCCTAAAAAAAAAAACAAAAACAAACCCCCCAAAAAATCAGAAAAGCCTGAGTCAATCAGTCATCACATCCCTTCTCCCAAAAGGCCAGCACTACTACTCTCCTCCTGCAAGAACTCACACTTCCGACCTTTTGCTGAAGTAAGCCAGTGAGCAAGCCATTCAGCTGACTTCAGGGATGATGCCAGACAGTGCTTGCTTAGATAAAGAGCTCTTACATCCATGTGGGTGACCTACACAGCACGAGACCTCGCACAGTGTGAAGGGGAGGCAGATGGTACCAGCATGTGGCCTTCCTGTGCTGCCTTCATCCTCCTCCTCTCTCCTCATCCTGCTGTCACTTCTGGAGACTCATTCTCCTTTAGATCAATACCTGCAGTGGAGGGATCAGACCTACCACTGTGCGAGTAGTCAAGCAAAAACCACGAATTGCAATCAACGTTACGATGAGGAAACTTTAGCACAGTTGACACTCATTTCTTCCTATTTGAACTGAAATAAATTAAATCCCAGACCTGTTATCCAGCAAATCCTAGTATCTGGCTGACTGTAGCCTGTAACTGCTGCTTCTGAAGACGGCAACAGAAACCTCTGTCTTTGACATTTATGGAATAATCTGTCTCCAAAGAACATTCTTTCCTCGCTGGCATTAGTTACAACTGCCTTAAATAGATCCCTCTCTAAGTTTCGGGTATTTTTAATCTTTAAAACTGTAACTGGGAACGTACTTGTTATCCACTTAAATGACCTATTCTTTTTGAACCTCAGCAATATGTTGGAGTAATTAATTCTCTTCTTCACTCTGCTTATTTCTCGTGGCCCTTCTCACCAGCCAGCTGTCTCTTAGGACAGCTGTCCCAGCTACTAAGAAGAAGAAACATAACCGTTAGCTTCAGATGATCTGATAGCATAAAACGCCACTGCAGATACATAACGAATGGAAGTTCGTGGTGGGTCAGTCCCAGTGCAGTGTTACAGATCTGCTACACTCTTTAACAGGTTTCTCAGAAGCAGGTCTGCAGCAAGTGCAGCTCCATGTCACTTCACTGCCTCTTATTCATGCCAGAAGGTCTGAACCTCTCAAAAAAAACATTCGCACCACTGCCTGACCAGGCAGACAGAACAAAGGCACTGCCCAGTGCATCACTGCCAGCATCACCCATGTGAGGCAGTTTGCAGAAGTGCAACCAAATCCACACCACCCCTCCTGCAGTCAATTAAAAAAAATCATCCCCTTCCTCCCCTGCTAGCCAGCAGGGAATGATGCAAACATCTTGCGCCCATATCAGAGCAAAACGCTTTCCTAAAGCGGCAATTTCGCTGGAACCAGGCAGGCAAACAGCCTCTCCCCTTTTTCCAGAGGCATGGAGTTCATGCTTGCTTAGGTTACAAAATTTCTTCCCACAAGTGATGCGAGATTCCTCCGGGGACCCACCACAGCTGCAACTCAGCCATGCAGTACAGACACTCACCTACCTTGGCAAGCCCACTCCAAAACACCTGACAGTAAAGAAAGCGGGCAATGGGTACACACAGCCAGGCTGCACATCAAGTGGCTATCGAGTTGGGTCAGTCAGTACTATCTTTGCTGCTACATTGCTAACATCTGGCTTTAGAGCCAGATGAACCAAGGCTGAGAACAGCAGCTGCCCATTCTGCAGCATAATTGTATTTTATTTGCAGGGAACTGTTTCCTTTTGCTTCACTCCAGCCCACCCAAAAACGCCAACCAGGCCTGTGCTTTAGAAACAAATAAATGAAGCTAACAGGGAAGGCAAAGGTGAGAACGTGCCAGCAGTCCCACCTATGCCTGTCCCCCATCACTGTTTCACAAGGAAACATTTTCTCTAGAATAACATCTGGCAACAACAGTTGGCACCAGACGGCTGTTTCATTGGCAAAGGGAGCAGCTCTGAGACGGTGGCATATATTAAGGAGAGTAACTCTTCAGAGTTATCTTCAGAAGAGATCAGAACCTCCAGCAGTGCTCAGATTAATTACCGTGTTGCAGCACAAAAAGGCCCGGGGCAGTGGGGAGGAATGGATGCTGGCGGTACCATATGCACTGAAGAGACTTGTTAAATTCTCAATGAGAAGACGCCCCGTGAACAGAACGTTCATGGAAGGTGACAGATTTACAGCTCCCAGAGGCTTCATTTAGTCACAGAAGAAGAACGGCAGCAGTGAGGCAGGCTCCCACAGCCACGCACGCCCGCACAACCCAGAACAGGTACTTCAGCCCAGACCCGAGAGACACGCTCCAGTAACAGACTCCAAGGGCTGTGCTTGGTTTTTTGCCCAGCCCTTCTAACATCAGGGCCGTATGTAGAGAAAAACGCACCGCAGGTTTGCTGAGACTGACCCTGGTTCATATCACTGATAGTCAGGGGACAGTAACAGTGCTCACTGTCCTTGGGCTGGCTCCTTGGCCCAGTTCCTCTCTTGCTCCAGAGGACTTCTGGAACCTTTCGTCCTTCCCCTCAAACTATGACCCCTGTCAAAAAAAAGCCACTACAGCTATTTCCACGTATCAGCAGGTGCTGGGCCCTAGCGAGGGATGCTAACTTGTCCCTCCTTCTGATCCGAGAGCTCAGAAATCCCAGACTGAGCTGCATCTCGTTCTGGGTGAGGACCGGGCAGACATGCAGCTTAGACTGTACCTGCACTCAGGTGACGGATAGTCTGACATTCCCCTCAAGATCACAGGTCCTGCTCCATCAACCACCACACACAGACCTTTCAGGTGGCTTGGCTTTGCTGCTGGGAGGAAAGGATCTCTCCGTTTCCAGAAAGCTGGCAGGGAACAGCTGCAGGTTTATAAAGCACAGTGATTCACGAAGGGATGGCAGGCCATGAATCAGAAAGCAATCAGGGCTGTCTCCTGTTTGATCTATCCTTCCTAGCCAGGAGCAGAGCTGATGGCACTGGCTGCCTCTGCATGCTTAATGACTCACCCAGCAAGCTATTCAGGGAAAGGCAGCTCTCTCTCCAGACCCTCTTTTTGGAAGTCATGTGTTTGTGTTCCCTGCCTCACATAGGGTGCCCTGCCACCTCCCAAGACAGGGTCTGGCTTTGGGGAGCTACACTGGTCTTCAGGGAAAGCAAGTGAGGGCAAGAGACGCTGGTGAAATGCCTTTCCCAGGGAGCCACAATCTGCCTCGCAGGCTAAGGGTGACTTCAGGCTCTGTGCTTCATGGTCCCAAAAAGCACAGACCCCAAAAGATCTGTGCCACAGCATCAGGATGAACATGGTAGGACCTCATCCTGAATTCACTGCCATGACCAGGGTCTCTTGGCTTCAGTTGTCTTTGTAACAGACCCTCAGAAGTGACACAAATCACTCCTGAAACCAGACAAGAAGCAGCAACGTTAATTAACACACACCGTTATATTCTATTTTAAAACACTGAGGCAAAGGTCTATTCTGAATCACATCAATAATTACAAACGAGCTCTCCAGTGGACAGAAAATGGCAAGCTATGCCACAGGGGTGTATTTATAAATGCATTAAAACATACAAATTAGACATGAGCTTCATAACAGGAAGCGCTTTCCTAACCGAAAAAGTGGTTAGAAGATCAAAAGCACTTCAATAATGAAACTCACTTAGTCCAGTCCAATAGACAGCAGCTTCATCAGTAAGCTAAATTTAAGCAAGCAATCATGGGATATAGGCTGTGAAATTTAGTCATACAATGAAGAGGGGTATTTTTATATAATTCACCAGAAATCAACAACAGGTTCTTACTATGCCCACACACACCGCAATCTAAGCAACAAGGAGAAATAATGCTCTACCTAAAACAAAATGCATAAATATAGGAGGAAAAAACAAGAATGAACTCTATGATGGAACCTGCACATGAAAGGGAGGGGTAACAAATTGAAGATTAGTTTGGGAAACTGGGAGTTGAACAGCTTGACTCCAATCCTCCACTGTGACACAGACTTTGTGCACGGCCTTGGGCAAGCCCCTTAGTCTGTCCCTTGCCTCTGCTCTTCCCCAGTGCAGGACCCTCATCCTTCTCTAAACCCAGGGATGTGGTAAGGATTTGCACTGAGAACCTCTGCTGACAGAGGAATGCCAGTTGCGAGGCATGACAGGCTCCAGGCGATCGGTGTATTGGCAAAAGCCCTACAGCAACACAATTTCACTGCCTCAAAAGTGCTTTTGCCAGTATAGGCTACTTTGGCCGGTGAATTGGAACAACCTTTTTTCGGGTTAGTAAAATCCATACTTAAAATGAGAGGACTGTCTGGTAAAGCGATTTCGGCAACCATTTATGAGGCATGCTGGCTCAAATACAACAAAGATTGCGAGATGCTAGTAATGAAGTACGAGAGAATGGAGTAACAGTGAAGCACCTACATGAAAAGCAAGTAGGAAAGGATGATCCACATATACAAACAGCTCAAAAACTAAAAAAGAAAAAGGGAAAAGAGAGTGAGCTCATCATGCCCTGTGTTGACTGCAAGGTACAACCTCCCAGCTAGGTAAGAACACATAGTACACGACTGCCAGGCAAGGCAGGGGTCACTTCAAAAGCTAAACCACTCCACGGCCAGATATTCTCGGACTCTCATCCTACTGAGACTGAACCTCTAGGACAAACCGGACAACAGGAATGCATCAGAAGTTGAGCGGTTTGGCTCCAGTTCCAAGTGCTGAGCACTTGGGAACACAAGCACTGCACAAACAGTTGTTTTGTTGTGCTGAGCCACCTAAAAATCTCAATGGCAGGACTTGCTGTGGTTATCCCACATCAGACCACTGTATTTTTATTTGCAGGCCCAAAGGCACATACAGGCACACACCCACAATCCCAGCTCAGAGAGCACATGGCATGCACACACACACACATGCTCCTGCTGGCTAGACATTCATTTAGTCATCACAGACCTCGCTTGGTACATTTGCCTCAACTTGCACAGTAACAGTACTTAATTAAACAGCAAAGAAAGCCAGGCCTGCAGGCTTTTTTCTGCACAACCTGCCCTAAAGCAGCGTCTGACAGATGGGGAAGAAACAAAGCCAAAGTAAATAAAACAGCTTCCAGGCCGTTAAAAGCATCGTTATTTTTAAGCATTGATTTTTGAATGATAGCAAGAAAATCAGTATCCAACACATCAGTGATGTCTAATTCACAGATAACTTGTATGCCAGGAGTTAGATAATTTCTAACATCTTTGCCAACACACACAAGAAAGACTTGCCACAGGAAATCCTGCTGCACCTATGCTGCTATGAAAGCGCAGCTCCCAAAGGGCTGCAAGTCCAACATCATCAGCCCCCTGCCCATACAGCCACCTCCCACACCCAGCGGGCACGCTGCTGGCCTGGAGGGCAAGGTTTGGCTCTGCTGGAGTCTCTCTGAGCTGGGCCAGATAACCCTGGCCCTGAGGCAGCTCTAACCAAACAAAGCAGACATCCTCCCCTTGGTATGTGCAATGCAGGTGTGGACCAATAACCTATTACCTTCAGCAAACTGACTGAAGACCTCATTCTCCAGCAAGGCTAAACTTCAACCTTTGAAAGCATGACCTAAGTTCCCTCTCTGTAAGATGAAAATATTACCACCGTCGCTTTACCTACTCCACTGAACATCCTCAGACAAAGCCTCCAGCTGCTTATCAACTTGCCAGCACATCTCAAGCAGCCCAGAAAGCAGCCAGAAGTCATTAAGTAAAGCCTTCCCAGGAGAGAAACTCTAAAGCTTGCAGGTGAAGAGCTCCAATTTACACAACTACTGAGTGCCATTATCCACCCCAAACCGATAGCCAACATGGGTCAACAGTCTTGACATTGACCTTTCACCACCAAAGCAGTTCACAGCACCAGTGCAAATGTTCAGTCCTCTTCAAGTGCCTTCTTCCACCTCCTCTCTTCTTGCTGGATCTGGTCCTCTGCTGGATTCGGGAAAGCAGAAAGCTGAAAAGAAGAGAGATGCAGACAATCATGAACTGTGTCAAAGATTATTCTGGGAATCAATATTTGATAATATGCTTTGCCATCAAGTCCTCCTTTTAATAGAGAGCACATGATTTCAGAATACACCTTATGAATGCATTTGATGAAACTGCAAAGTGTGCACTGGGTATCAGGGGAGAGCCAAACTGCGGCAGTGAGGAGCACGAAGACCTTCTGATGGTAGGAAGATGTCAGAACAGGTTTATAGTCACTGCTGCATCCCGTAAATGCTGCTATGGCTTCTGTCAAGGCTGTGTACACACCACAACGACAGCTCATTCCAGTGCAAAAGGCCCGAAAGTAACTCCATGAGAAAGCTCAGGAAGAAGACCCTTCTGTGCAGCACAAAGCCCTAGCTGGTGTTAGTGCCTCCAAGTGTTCATTGCTCCTAGCCCTCCCACGGCAACTGCCCGGGAAGAGGAAAGCGGTGGGCAGACAGTACCAGAACTCACTGCGTGCGTCCACTGCTCCCAAGGCTTACGAGCCCCAGGATACAGAGCATGAACCAGAGCAGGGCCCTTACAGAGAAAAAGAGTGCTAGGAAGTCACTGTTTTCTTCAGCCTCTATCCCTGCTGAAGCATCATCAAGACACAGGTCCTAAGCACCACGGCAGGGTCTGCTGGAAAATAGCTCCCTAGAATTCATCTGCCACTGCCAGCCCTCCTACAGCACGGCTTCAACCTCCCAGTGCAAATGCACAGTACCTCCCTCAGGTAAGCAAGAAGCCACAGGAAGATGCCTTCAAACTTAACAGGAGTTATTTCTTTACAACTTTACTTCATTTACCATAGAATCATAGAACGTTTTGGGTTGGAAGGAACCTTTAAAGGTCATCTAGTCCACCCTTCCTGTCATGGGCAGGGACATCTTTAACTTGATCAGGTTGCTCAGAGCCCCGTCCAACCTGACCTTGAACACTTCCAGGGATGGGGCATCTACCACCTCTCTGGGCAACCTGTGCCAGTGTTTCACCACCCTCATCATAAAAAATTTCTTCCTTAATCTAGTCTGAAACTAGCCTCTTTTAGTTTAAAACCATTAGCCCATGTCCTATCAGTACAGGCCCCACTAAAAAGTCCATCCCCATCTTTCTTACAAGTCCCCTTCAAGCATTGAAAGGCTGCTCTAAGGTCTCCCCTGAGCCTTCTCTTCTCCAGGCTAAACAACCCCAACTCTCTCAGCCTGTCCTCACAGCAGAGGTGCTCCAGTCCTCGGATCATCTTTGTGGCCTCCTCTGGACTCACTCCAACAGGTCTATATCCTTCTTGTGTTGGGGGCCCCAGAGGGGCTTATGTATAGAGGGAGGGGGGGGGTCTCACCAGAGCGGAGCAGAGGGAGAGAATCCCCTCCCTTGACCTGCTGGTCACCCTGCTTGGGATGCAGCCCAGGACACCACTGGCTTTCTGGGCTGCCAGCACACATTGTCGGCTCACGTCCAGTTTTTCATCCACCAACACACCCCAAGTCCTCCCTGCTCTCAATCCCTTCATCCTCCAGCCTGTATTGATGCTGGGGATTGCCCCGACCCATGCTGAACCTCATGAGGTTCACATGGTTCCACCTCTTGAGCTTGCCCAAGTCCCTCTGGATGGCATCCCGTCCCTCAGGCGTGTCAACTGCACCACTCAGCTTGGTGTCATCTGCAAACTTGCTGAGGCTGTGCTCAATCCCACCGTCCATGTCACTGATGAAGATATTAAACAGTACTGGTCCCAACACAGACCCCTGAGGGACATCACTTGTCACTGATCTCCATCTGGACTTTGAGCTGTTGACCACTACTCTATGGATGCGACCATCCAGCTAACTCCTCATCCACTGAACAGTCCATCCATCAAATCTGTCTCTCTCCATTTTAGAGAGAAGGATGTTGTGGGGGACCGTGACAAAGGCCTTACAGAAGTCCAGATAGACGACATCCCTATTCCCTTGTCCACTGATGCAGTCACTCCATCATAGAAGGCCACTGGGCTGGTCAGGCAGGACTTGCCCTTGGTGAAGCCATGCTGGCTGTCTCAAATCACCTCCCTGTCCTCCGTGTGCCTTAACATAGCTTCTAGGAGGATCTGTTCCATGATCTTCCCAGGCACAGAGGTGAGGCTGACAGGTTGGTAGTTCCTGGGGGCCTCCTTTCTACCCTTTTTAAAAATGGGTGCAATGTTTGCCTTTTTCCAGTCTCTGGGGACTTCATCTGACTGCCATGACTTTTCAAAGATCATGGAGAATGGATGGGCAACTACATCAGTCAATTCCCTCAGGGCTTTGGGATGCATCTCATCGGGTCCCATAGACTTGTGTATGTTCAGGTTCCTCAGGTGGTCTCGAACCTGTTCTTCACTTACAGTGGGAGGGACGTTGCTCCCTCAGTCCCTGCCTTGAGGTCCACCCACTCAAGAGGTGTTGGAAGAGAGGTTGCCCGTGAAGACTGAAGCAAAAAAGTCGAGCACCTCAGCCTTCTCCTCGCCTGTTGTTACTAGCCTGCCAGCCATGTTCGTCGCAGGGGTACCTTTCCTTGACCTCCCTTTTCTGGCTGACATATCTACAGAAGCCCTTATTATTATTCTTTGTGTTCCTTGCCAAGTTCAGCTCCAGCTGCGCCTTGGCCTTCCTGACCCCATCCCTACACAACCGAGCAGTGCCCCTATACTCTTCCCAGGGTATCTGTCCCTGCTTCCACTGCTTGTGCATTTTCTTCTTGCTCTTTAGTTTGAGAGGCAGGCCTTGATTCATCCATGCTGGTCTCTTGCCATCCTTTCCCGACTTCTTACACATAGGGAATGAGAATTCTTGTGCTATATGGAAAATGTTCTTAAAGACCTGCCAGCTCTGTTCTGCTCCCTTGTCCCTAAGGGCAGTTTCCCAGGGGGTCCTATTGACTAACTCCTTGAACAGCTGGAATTTTGCTTTCTTAAAATTCAGGGTCCTGATTTTACTCTTCACCTGACTCATGTCCCTCAGGACTGTGAACTCCGCCAGTGCAGGATCACTGCAGCCTAGGCTGTCTCCAATCACTGATAAGCTCACTTGCACTGGTCACCATCAGGTCCAGCATTGCATCCTCTCTGGTAGGGCTATTATCTGACTTAAGAAGTTATCCTCAATGCACTCCAGGAGCCTCCTGGATTGCCTACAGCTCACCGGGCTACTTTTCCAGCACACGTTGGGGGAGTTGAAGTCCCCCAGCAAGATGAGAGTCTGCAAGCACAATCCCTCCTGTATCAGGAGTAAGAAGGCTTCATCAGTAGGCTCTCCTTGATCAGACGGTCTGTAGTAAACACCAACCACAAGGTCCCCTTTGTTGTCTGTCTCTAATTCTTACCCATAAGCTATCAACCGGCTCATGGCTATTCTTCAGGGACAGCTCTTCACAATCTATCCCTTTCTTGATATAGAGGGCAACCCCTCCGCTTCTCCTTCCCCACCTGTCCCTTCTGAACAACTTGTAGTCATTGACAGCAGCACCCCAGTCACGGGATCCGTCCCACCAAGTTTCAGTAACGGCAAGTAGGTCGTAGCTTTCTAGCAGCACGGTGGCTTCCAACTCCTCCTGTTTGTTGCCCACGCTGCATGCATTGGTGCACAGGCACTTCAGCTGGGCTGTTGGCCGCATCACTCTTTTAGAGGAACACACCTTAATTGCTTTGAGGTATTTCACCGGTGTCTCCCTGTTGGCTCCTATTACCTCAGCAGCCCCTGGCTCGTCTCCATAAGACTTCGAGTGTGCTCCAGTGTACCCAGCACATCTCAGAGCAACAGGCTGAGGGCCCTCCCTAGCACCCTGTCCCTCTGCAATCTGTTTCCATTGGCATTGCAGGCAGCAGGATGGAGAGGGGAAGAGAACAGCAATTCCTCCTCCCTAACCTGTTTGTTTGGATACTGAATTAATGATCCTTTGATCTACACCCTGACACTAACTCACTTCACAGCCTAAGGCTTAAACTCTTATCTATTGCCTGTACCAGGATATGGAAGCAGTAATACCTCCTGACTTGCCTGGGTGGGATAATGCAGTGTTTGCAAACCACCCGGGAAGAGAAAAAAGGTACTTTTTATTAATGGATCAAATTTAACACAATTCATAACCATTTTAACTTCCTATTATCTTCAAGGGGAGGTTCCTGCAGGTCTTTACCTAGCATAGTATGGGCAACACACCTTTCTTTATAATCAGCTTGGATTACCCCTCCCTATGAAAAGGAATGCTCTGGGGTAAGAGCTAGAAACTTGTTGATTCACATTACTATGTAACCTCTAGACCACAAAAACATCTCAAGAGAAACAGTGGAAATCCCAGCACTTTAGCCACTGAGAAGCAGGCCAGATGAAGTCCTGGAATAATTAATTAAAGATCAGAGAAGGGAGCTTTCTGAGGAACTGGGGAGAGGAGGGAAGGCATAGGCAGCGCGGTCACCTGCAAAGCAAGCAATAGCTCTGAAGCATCCTCAGTCCCAAGGCTGGGCCCAAACTCTCCTCGAGCAGCCCTTGTGCCCTAGCATTTATCCGTTTGCTTCATGCTGCTCCCACACTCTGGCCCTTTCAGAAGAGAAAGCCGACCTGGGACGCAAAGCTGAACGCTTTGCTTTCCATCTCAGCATGTTGGAACGTGCTGGAAAGTCAAAGTACTTGTGCCTCTAGGGCTGAGGAGAAAGCAAAACACAAGCCAGATATCCACTGAGGCAAAGAAGCTTCTCAGGAACTGTCACACTTGTGTGTGGGGCAGGCACACAGAACAGACTTTTCGTCCAAAACCCCCCTCCCTGACCCTTCACATGGAAGCTGAACTAATTTGGCACTGCTGAATGAGATTCCCCAGACCACAGCTTGGAAACTGCCTTTATCTCCTTTGGAAACTGCCTTTATCTCCTTCTGCCTGTTGTCTAAACTACGTGCTCCTGAGGGCACAGAGTCTCTTCCCTGACTGTACAGTACCTAACACAAAAGGATCTTGCCCTGAGCCTTT